GCACACTCGTGTTTGCGGCCGGAAGTGAGTGCTTTTCTGTATACTTCCACTTCATCCTACAAAGTATTAACAACATCCATCATAGCCGGGCGCGGCGGCTCACGCCTGTAATCCCAGCACTTTGGGAGGCCGAGGCGGGCGGATCACAAGGTCAGGAGATCGAGACCATCCTGGCTAACACGGTGAAACCCCGTCTCTACTAAAAATACAAAAAAAACTAGCCGGGCGTGGTGGCGGGCGCCTGTAGTCCCAGCTACTCAGGAGGCTGAGGTAGGAGAATGGCGTGAACCCGGGCGGCGGAGCTTGCAGTGAGCCGAGATCGCGCCACTGCACTCCAGCCTGGGGGACAGAGCGAGACTCCATCTCAAAAAAAAAAAAAAAAAAAAAAAAATTCATCATTTTTAACAAATGCTCAGAAGTGAGACTGGTTTCTTTCCTCTCTCTCTCTTCCTGTGGGTGAGTGCTGTGAAGATATGATTATTGCCCTGGCACTGCTTGGTGTCATGGCCTCAAGTCGTGCTCAGATGCCAGCAGTTCCACCCACCATGGCTTGTGCACCATCAGCACAAATGGGAAAACGTGTTCTGGAACCAATCACGAGATTCACACAGGTACTCCACACTCTGACTACGTCAGTGCCTTTTGTGCTTTATGGTCAAGCAATGGGGTAAAAGAACATCATCTGTAGACTGGGCACAGTGGCTCAGGCCTGTAATCCCAGCACACTGGGAGGTCAAGATGGGTGGATCACCTGAGGTCAGGAGTTCCAGACCGCCCTAGGCAACATAGTGAAACCCCATCTTCACTAAAGTACAAAAATGAGCCAGGCATGGTGGCACATGCCTGTAATCCCAGCTACTTGGGAGGCTGAGGCAGGAGAACTGCTTAAGCCAGGAGACGGAAGCTGCAGTGAGCGGAGATCACTCCACTGCACTCCAGCCTGGGCAACAGAGGGATACTCCGTCTCAAAAAAAAACAGTATCATCTGTGATGAGAAGCCGGGGACACAGGCCAAGTGGCAGGTCCAGGCTGTCTGTAGACTCATCCACCGTGAGGCAAAAGCACAACTCAGCAGCAGACACGTCAACTCCCTCTTTGGGCTTGCAGTCACATCTTGAATCCAGCAAGTTTCGATTGCATTGTGGACCGTGGCAGCACAGAGTGGCCAAGCCTGAGGCTGTGCTGCAGCCAGGGGCTTTGTCTCCCAGCTACTGTGTGGCCTCTCCAGCGTCTACAATGCAGCTTCTAAGAGCTTCAGTGACTCTTTAATTTATTGTCTGAAAAGCTGTAACAAACAACATTGGATCTTAAAGAGCTCATCATATTTATTTTTAAAATGTTCTTTTTTAAGTGTAAACTATTCCATGTAAATTAAAAAAATCCCTTTTATCTTTTTTTTTTTTTGAGACAGGCTCTCACTCTGTCACCCAGGCTGGAGGGCAGTGGCAAGATCTCTGCTCACTGCAGCTTTGATTTCCAAGGCTCAGGTAATCCTCCTACCTCAGCCTCCTCAAGTAGCTAGGACTACAGATGTGTAGCACCATGCCCGGTTGATTTCTGTATTTTTTGTAGAGACAGGGTTTCACTATGCTGCCCAGGTTGCTCTCGAACTCCTGGCTCAAGCGATCCACCCACCTTGGCCTCCAAAGTGCTGAAATTACAGGTGTGATCCTGAACTTACTTACCATATTCTCATGTGGGCACAAGGAAAACTTCAGGATTTCAAAATAATGATTCAGTTGAAGGTAAAATTACAGAGGCTATAGCAGGTATAAATGAAGAGAAAGTAAGAGCTCAGTAGAAATATTGGACATTTATTAATCTCTAAAAATGCATCTGTTGGTTGGCGTGGTGGCTCATGCCTGAAATCCCAGCACTTTGAGAAGCCGAGGTGGGCGGATCACTTGAGGTCAGGAGTTCAAGATCAGCCTGGCCAACATGGTGAAACTCTGTCTCTACTAAAAATACAAAAAGTAGCTGGACATGGTGGCGTGTGCCTGTAATTCCAGCTACTCAGGAGGCTGCGGCAGAACTGTTTGAACCCGGGAGGTGGAGGTTGTGTGAGCAGAGATCATGCTACTGCACTCCAGCCTGGGTGACAGAGCAAGACTCTGTCTCATTAAAAAAAAAAAAAAAAAAAAAAAAGCATATATTTATACCAAAAACTTAGGACCCTAGAAAAGACCAAAAGCACATAGATTCTATTTTACAGCATGTGGTCACTGAAAAACTCCACCATACACTCACAGAGAACGAGAGAAAAAAGACAAATAACATCTTAGTATTGCAAAAAAAACTGCCCTGACCTCGAGAATTTGGTGGCCACACACAGAATGCGAACCACTACTGTAAAGAGCGGGTGCTGGACGGACCTCCCAGCAGCCAGACACATCCTGCAAGATCTCAGGAGTCATCAGCTTCCCAAAAGGGCCTAAAATCTGAAGGAAGGGCGAAAGGGGAAGAGAACCCTGAAGACAAAGGAAGCAGGCAGGAGAATGTGCATCCTGACTTGCCGCCAGCACCAGGCTAATGTACCCAGACGGACTCCAAGACCCTCTAAGAACAGCTCCAGGCAGAGGGGCCTTCTGGGAGTCACCAAAGGAGCTGAAACACACACACACCTGCAGACAGCACCTCTCAGCTGGGCTCTGCAGAGAAAGCGCTCCTGGCCAAGTATGTGGAGTGGCCACAGCAGCCCTTCATGGGGACCCCAGCACATACAAACCTGGGAAGCTCCTTGCATAGCCGGGCACACACCTCCTTGCTGCTTGGAGCTGCGCAGCGCAGCACTGCTCAGATTGTTCCCATCAAAAGCCCTCTTCTCCGGCTCAGTACACATTAACATCCCTAGCAATCACACTGACTCACAACTAGCAAGTCAGAGCCCCTAGCTGTAGACTGTTCCTGCCTGCCAGCATCTCTGCACAGGTTTTCTAGAGACAGGCGTGGCACACCGCACAGAGTCGTGGTGTTCCCCACTTGCTGGGGCGGCCCAGAGCTCAGCTCCTTCCTCTCATTCCTCTCCACAAGTCTCTCAAGTCACACGTGTCCTGTCCCTGCCTAGCCTGGCCCTCCACTCCCCCTTGCCTTGTGCTTCCACTCCAGCATACCTTCCTGCAAAGCCCTCTCCCCACTGTCTTGGGCTCCTCCCTGCCCACACAAAAGGGACAAGCAGGTAAAAATATTAGAGGGGAAGCCCTTCTTACCAGATTAAGATGGAAAACATAAAATATAAATAGGGACAGGATGGACTTGGTAAGAATTTGCAGCTTCCATACAAAAACAGTATCAAAAGACTGGAGAGAAACTGAAGAATGTTTGCAAAACATACAACAAGGAATAGTCTCCACACACATGGCTTTTAAAAATCCATGTTAAAAAGATGCACCAGTCTGGCCAACACAGGGAAAACCCATCTCTACCAAAAAATACAAGAATTGGCCAGGCGTGGTGGCTCAAGCCTGTAATCCCAGCACTTTGGGAGGCCGAGACGGGCGGATCACGAGGTCAGGAGATCGAGACCAGCCTGGCTAACACGGTGAAACCCCGTCTCTACTAAAAAAATACAAAAAACGGCCGGGCGCGGTGGCTCAAGCCTGTAATCCCAGCACTTTGGGAGGCCGAGACAGGCGGATCACGAGGTCAGGAGATCGAGACCAGCCTGGCTAACACGGTGAAACCCCGTCTCTACTAAAAAAATACAAAAAACGGCCGGGCGCGGTGGCTCAAGCCTGTAATCCCAGCACTTTGGGAGGCCGAGATGGGCGGATCACGAGGTCAGGAGATCGAGACCAGCCTGGCTAACACAGTGAAACCCCGTCTCTACTAAAAATACAAAAAACTAGCCGGGCGAGGTGGCGGGCGCCTGTAGTCCCAGCTACTTGGGAGGCTGAGGCAGGAGAATGGCATAAACCTGGGAGGCAGAGCTTGTAGTGAGCTGAGATCCGGCCACTGCACTCCAGCCTGGGTGACAGAGCGAGACTCTGTCTCAAAAAAAAAAAAAAAAAAAAAAAATACAAAAAACTAGCCGGGCGAGGTGGCGGGCGCCTGTAGTTCCAGCTACTTGGGAGGCTGAGGCAGGAGAATGGCGTAGACCCAGGAGGCGGAGCTTGCAGTGAGCTGAGATCCGGCCACTGCACTCCAGCCTGGGCGACAGAGCAAGACTCCGTCTCAAAAAAAAAAAAAAAAAAAAAAAAAAAAAAAAAAAAAAAATTCAAGAATTAACCGGGTGTGGTGGCTGGCACCTGTAATCCCAGCTACTTGGGAGGTCGAGGCAGGAGAATTGCTTGAACCCAGGAAGCAGAGGTTGCAGTGAGCTGAGATAGCACCACTGCACTCCAGCATGGGTGACAGAGTGACATTCTGTCTCAAAAAAAAGATGCAAAACATACAAGAAAAAATAGTCAAAGGACACAAAGTACCTCAAAAAAGAAACACAAATGGTTATGAACACAGGAGACATCTGCCTCAACAGGAATAAAACGGAAATTCACAAGTTTGTTTTTAGAGCATCAAAACACTCTCAGGCAGGCAAGAGCATTGGGAAAGGTAAATTCCTGGCCCCCAGGACAGATCCCCAGCCCTCTGAAAACATGCACACCCTTGAACACACACCGCCCCTGGCGCTCAGCTTAAAAGACATAAATGGACAAGTGGGGAAAGCTATGTGGAAAAGAGGGGCTACAACAGCGAACCTCAGAAACTCCCAAGTGGCCCAGTCCAGGCCGCATCTGTCCACACCATAGTGACTTCAGGCCACACCCAGCAGATCCAAATGCCCAGCAGAGGAGGGCAGCGCCCAGCAGTCACAACCCACTCACCCCCTGGGCCAGCTGCCTCCTAAGCACCTGTTTCCAACTGTGCACTTACAATGTGCTCCTTGGCCAAGCGTCCAAGGCTGCTGAGGGAGGCAGTGACAAGGCAAAGGCACCCACCATAAGCCCCCATGTGTTCACGCTGCAGTTCTGCACAAAGCATTGCTTATGTCTATAAGGTCTTACCAAGGGTTTCCGCCAGCCTGCTTCTCCAGTAACAACCTCTTCTCATCTTCGGAAAACTGTAAGTCCAGTTCAAAGGAGTTCGAGTCCAAATCATGGATGTACTGCTCTATGTTGCTGCCTGACCTCTGGGGCAGGCCCACGTCCGAGGCTGACAAGGAGTGTGAGGAGGAGGACAAGGACAACTGCATGCAGCCAAACTGGCTCAGGAGATTGTCATACTGCAGAGAAGAAGGAAAAGTGAGAACCACACCTTCACTTGCCTCTACAGTCCTAAAACCCCAGCCCCTCCTGGCACTGCCGCTGTCAGGCCTTGGGAGCTCACACACAGCAAGGCGCAAGGCGACAGGGTGGGCAGCCCTGATTCTCCTCCATGGGACACCTGGCCACAGAACCGAGGCCTCACTGGATCTTGCCTGGTCGGGCTCCTCTTCCCATGGGAATCAGGGCCACAGAAGGGCGAAGCCTCAGATTTCCTCTCCAGGAAGAGGGGACCTGGGCCCTTACCCTGCAGGCCCCGTGAATGCCAGTGCTGCCCCCGGAGGTGGGCGCTGGGATGCCTGCTGGGAAGAGAAGGAGCCCAAGGAGGCTTGGCAGCAGATCCATCGCACAGGCTGGCAGGCAGGGCCTCCGCGCAAGACCTCCTTGGGCCCCAGGGGTCTCAGGGGTCTGAGTCTGTAACAGATGCTACATATTATGATTTGACTAAACACATTCAACTGTTTAAAAGGCATTCCTTTTAATCTCAGCAAAGATAAACTGAACTTACGGTAGACAACACTGCCTGTTTCTCTGGGAAAATGACAAACTAGTGTCAACAGTGGAAACTCACTCACTCATAAACGTGCCAAGCAGACAGAGCCTGCGCACTAACACGCTCCTGGGGCTGCCAAGGCTAGAGAACCCCTGGGTGGGGGCAGCCACATCCCCGGCTGCAAGCCCCACATCTGAGCTCTGCTGAGGCCAACAACAAGGGGAAAGAAAAAGTGCCACCAGCAATGGCACCATCAGCAATGGCTGGGATAAGAGTACAGCATGCTCTTCCACATCCTCTGTGCCTTCAGATGCAGGCCCTGGCTGCTGCCCCACACAACCCTCCACACACGCAGCGTCCCCCATGTGCTCGCACTCCTACAGCTGCACAACAGCCCCGCCCCACAGCCCTGAAGCCTCTCACCCAGCTGGGCTGGAGCGAGGTGCTCGCCAATGGGCAGGGTGGAAACACCCAGTGCTGCCGGCCCCTCCACAGGGCGTGGGCCTGCCCAGCCTGCTCGTCTCCAACACTGTCCAATGGCAACACCGCCCCAGCACTTGCAGGACCTCAGGAGAGCAGGAGCCAACGAAGCACCTGCTCTCCTCCTGCCTTGACCCAAGGGTGGGTACCATGGCCAACCTCCCTGCTGAAGGGGACGCCCAGTGCCCATTCCCCATGAAGGAGGGGGTGCAGCCCCGCAGGGAAGGAGGAGGTACAGCCCTGAAGGCTCCTTCCATGCTTGACGCCGTTTGCCAAGACTCACTCACTGTCCCCATATGAGATCTGACCTGGGAGCTCCCTGCCTGGACCCACTCCAAGGCTTTCAAACCACACAGCTGATCAGAGCTAAGGATGGGCTATCTAACAGTCGGCTGCCAGCACACGGAGCCGGACTTCACAGACAGCAACAGAACCCACGTATCAAGCAGCCCTAGCTCTCAGTAGGCCCAGGCACAGAGCCCTGCATAGGTACGCAACGTGTGCAAGCACACCCACCCCCACACTAAGAGAAGCTCTCCAGGCACTGAGACTGCAGACAACTAAAGCCTGTGCTGCTCCTTCAGAGCCCAGCTACCACCCTGGGAGGAACGGAGGACAGAGCCCACAGGATAACGGCCACCAGCCAGTCCCGAGCACAACCTCTGCAGCAACAGCAGGCCCAGCAGGGAGAGCACTGCAGCCCGGTGGCACCCGCCAGCCGTGACCAAAGACCATGTAGGAGCAGCTGGGTGGCACAGAGGGTGGGGGTGAGGGCCTTGGGGGGCACAGAGGGTGGAGGTGAGGGCCTCAGCAGGGGGCTAGGGCCTCGGGGCTCCCAGCCCTCTGCATACATGAAAGCTACAAGTGGCCACGTCAGGCAGCAAAGACTGCCCCCCAGGCCTGGCTCCCCTAGACTTTGGGCTCAAAGGATGTCGGGAGGATGAGGGGCGTTACGGGGCATTGGGAAACTTCATCTCCAGGAGGGGACACTAGCAGAAGTTTAGCTGTGGATGACTTTCAGATAAAATCTAGAATTCCCAGCTAGGAGCAGTAACTCATGCCTAAGACCCCAGCAGTTTTGGAGGCCGAGGCAGGTAGATCACTTGAGGTCAGGAGATTGACACCAGCCTGGCCAACATGGCGAAACCCTGTCTCTACTAAAAATACAAAAATTAGCCAGGCATGGTGGCGCACACCTGCAGTTCCCACTACTCGGGAGGCTGAGACAGGAGAATCGCTTGAACCCAGAGCGGCAGAGGTGGCAGTGAGCTGAGATCGCGCCACTACACTCCAGCCTGAGCGACAGACCAAGACCCTGTCTCAAAACAAATAAATAAATAAAATCTAGACTTCTTCATTCATGGCAAGTGGAACTCCGTACATGGTGCCAGTTAGAATAAGCCACAGTGACAGAAATCAAACCAGAAAAATGGATCTCATGATAACAACACTTAAGTATGAGGGGTCATGGTGGAAGTGGCAAGAGGAACTCAGAGGAAACAAGGTTGAAAGTAGGCGACATGCCTGCCTCTCACAACACCCTCGGTCCCTGAGGCATATGGTCCCTTTTCTCTACAAGAAGCTTAAAGAGCAAAGTGTGCTGAAGACCGCATGGCTGTGGTGAAGTTGGGAGACCAGCAGCCTCAGAGCCCACTCAGCACTGATGCAGACGGTGCCAGTGTCCCTGCCAACGCCACGTCCCAAAAGTCCAAGCACGTGACACTCAGGGGTTTCTGTGGAAAGACAGGCAGTGTTCTGGAACATCTTGGACGCACAGCTGTACAAGCACCAAGCCAAGCGCAGATGCGACAGGCCGGGCAGGAGGTCCCGTACCTGGGACCCCAGGGCCAGTGCCGGGGTGCTCAGTATCCGGTTCTAGCAGCACCCTCTGGGTGGAAACTCACTAGACTGCCCCCAGCCATGGAAATGAGGAAAACACGAGCCACCCCGCACCTCACTCGCCACTGCCTCAAGGCAGCAAAGACTACAGCCACCAACAGGCCTGCCGCCGTGGCACAGACACCCTCCCCTTTCGCCTGCAAATCACACGTGGGTCTGGCGCACAGGCATGAAGCCCAGTGCACGGAGGACCCAGTGCCACCCACCTCACCCGCCATCCTGGCCAGCTTACATTGCCGTAGCAGTCCTCGTCGTCTTCCGACATGGCCGGCAGGTAAGCGGTGAGCTTCGGAGGCGTCTGCTGGTGCAGGTTCTCCCACGTGACAGACTCGAAGAATGGGTGTGCTTTAAGAGGTCCATACCCTTCCATTTCCTCACAGCCTAACCGCTTTGTGGCATCTAAAACCTTAAGTAACAATCAAGACTAGTCACTGCCAGGGTGAAAACGTGATTCTGACCAAAGAAACCCAAACCTGGTGGCCAAGCATGGTAGCTCACGCCTCGAATCCCAGCACTTTGGGAGGCTGAGGCAGGCGGATCACCTGAGGTCAGGAGTTTGAGACCAGCCTAGCCAACATGGTGACAACCCGTCTCTACTAAAAATATAAAAATCAGCTGGGTGTGGTGGCGCGCACTTATAATCCCAGCCGCTCGGGAGGCTGAGGCAGGAGAATCACTGGAACCCGGGAGGCAGAATTTGCAGTGAGCTAAGATCGTACCGTTGCACTCCTGCCTGTGTGACAAGAGCAAAACTCCATCACCCAAAAAAATTAATTTATCTCATCTCATTATAAGTCCCTTTCTTTTTCTTTTGAGACGGAGTCTGCTCTGCCGCCCTGGCTGGAGTGCAGTGGCGCAATCTCGGCTCACTGCAAGCTCTGCCTCCCGGGTTCACGCCATTCTCCTGCCTCAGCCTCCCGAGTAGCTGGGACTACAGGCGCCTGCCACCACTCCCAGCTAATTTTTCGTATTTTTAGTAGAGACGGGGTTTCACTGTGTTGGACAGGATGGTCTTGATCTCCTGACCTTGTGATCTGCCTGCCTCAGCCTCCCAAAGTGCTAGGATTACAAGCGTGAGCCACCGCGCCCGGCCTATAAGTCCCTTTCAATTTCCAAGTGCCTAATTCTTGATAGGAAACTACTGTAGCAGGAATAATAAAAGGAACTAAAATTAAAAAAAAAAAAGGAAATGACTGTACCATTGAGCATTTGCTCATCAACGCTGCATAGCATGTTAAGTTACTGGTGCTGGAGCGTCCAGGATTATGACAGCGCAAGTGGCTGCAGACCCTAGTTTATGACATCTGTACATTTCAGCTTTAGAGTCAGCTACATGAAAATTTAAAAGACCAGCCCAGGTAAAACAAAGAAGAGAGGTTAGTCTGGGAAAGGTACATCAGTTTATATTCTAGAAACAGAAGTTTTCTGACCTTCCTGTGCCTTTGGCCCTGGACATCCCTCCTCACCACGACTCTGGGAGCGGGGTCAGTCCTGCCCCTGCAGGTGGCCCCAGGATCGCTAGGCTCCACAGCCACTGGCTTCTCCCAACCTGTCTCACCTCTTTCCCCTGGGGCTGAGGTGTGGGATTGATCAGTCCCTGGAGGAGACAGTTCTGCAGCCTTCCAGGGTCCCAGCAACACCCACTCCACAACCGCAGGAGTGTGCTGGTCCCAGTGATGATTCGCTCTCTTTGCTAATTACTCAATTTTTCTTGTTTTAGGATTTTTAACTATACACTATAAAAGAATCCTTGCTGTTGTTCATTGTATTTTGAGACTGAGATTCCTTTCCACCTGTGCGAGAAAATGAGCTGAGCCTTAAGAGGCAGCGCAGGATCCCAGGGCCTGCCTCCCCATCCAGTTGCTCTGTGGGGGATGGAGGGGGCAGCAGGGGAACAGTACCCAGTACTCTCCAGCAGATACTGAGAAGTGAAAATAAGTACTCAAAAGGTTTGGGTTTTTGTTTTCTTTTCTTTTTTTTTTTTTTTTTTTTGAGACAGTCTTGCTTTGTCGCCCAGGCTGGAGTGCAGTGGCGTGATCTCAACTCACTGCAACCTCTGCCTCCCGGGTTCAAGCCATTCTCCTGCCTCAGCCTCCCAAAGTGCTGGGGTTACAGGCGTGAGCCACTGCGCCTGGCGACATGAAATGTAATTATCTATGCTCACTATTAACCCTAAAAACACCATTTTTTGTGAACACAGGAACCTCCAGGAAAGCCACTCAGAGAGCAGTTTCAGAGGACTCAGGGTGTCCCAGATCCCCTTTCCAAAAGGAAATTCACAATATTTACCAAAAGTTTCTCCACGAGGTCTCTTGCCTTAGGGAAGAATTTTTCTGGAAAGTCATATTCCAACTTAATGATCTTCTGAAATATAAGATACTCATTTCTGTAAAAAATTTAAAAAAAAAAAGTCATCCTAGGCAGGATCCCAGAAGCCTCCACAGGCAGGGATGAGCGCCCCGGCCTCGCAGCCCTGCAAACACACCCCGGCCCTGCATGCCAAGCGCCCCCACCTGGGCACGGCACTAAGTGCTGCCCTCCCCCACCCACCTCGATGCCGGAGGGACTGCCGGCCGGTGGGGTGCACCCCAACAGGCTCCAAGGCCCAGGAAACGCTGTCTCCTTACCCAGCTCGGAATGGTGGGAGTCCTGCCACAAGCTGGTATATTATGCATCCAAGAGCCCAAAGGTCTGAACTTTAAGGTAAGGGGAAAACAAAGGAAAAAAGACATGTGTAAAATATAGGTGACAAGGCCAGCTCAATTTCCACTCTGTCCACATGGCCCCAGTTTCACCTCTAATGCAATTCTGTCCTTTAAGATCAGTGAGGTGTGAGGGTGGGGAACCCGCCCTCTGGAGAAGCCTCCCAGCGGCCTGGGCCCAGAGGGTCTGCATGCGGCAGGCACCGGCGGTCACTCAGCTGTCCCCAAAGCTTCGCCATTTCCAACAGGGCTTACTAACATCCACACACACCTGTCATCCTGAAGCAGAGCAGAGCTCACTCCTGGCACCACGTGGCTACAGACCAGGCAGGGGGCAGGATGGGACAGAATGGGGCTGACCCTGTTCCAGTAAGACAACCAAGAAAGCTGAAGGAAGCGCCCTCCCATCAGTGCCGGTGGAGGCTTGCCAGGGACAGGAAAGTGCAGCACAGGCGAAATGAATGACCGTAACATTCACACTTGACTTTCTTCAGTGTTTAGTTAAAATGCGGAGCAACAAAAGAAAACAGGCAGCAGAGCCTCCACCTTTCAGTGTGGAAGCAGCAGAGAGAAGAGGGGTGCTGGGGGCAGGGCTGTGCCTGGACCTTCACGAGGTCCTCTCCAGAGCATGGAATTCAAGCAGAAAGGGATTGTGGGGTAGTTTTTCACCTCTGTGAATTATCAAATGTTTTATCAGAAACCATTACTTTAGAATTTATATTTTTTAAATACAATACAAAAATAAAAGGGGAAGCCAGTATTGCACTTCCGGAAAGCACGTGTACCAAGGGTGTATCAAATAAACATTCAGTTAGACCAAGTCATGCCACTTCCTGAAATCCAAACCGAGGAATTCAGGGCGGCCCCTCACTCAGTCCAGCAGACCCTGTCTCGCCCACTACAGGGACAACTAGAGGGACACCCTCACCCCGACCCCAGGCAAAGAGACCTCCTCTGCCCGTGCAGGTTGGGTGGCGGGTCAGAAACACGCCAGTGTGTGAATGAATGGAAACCTCTTCAACGCACGACAGCAGAGACAGGTCCATGAACCACAATCTTCATGTGACAGAAAACCATACACTGATAAAGACACCCACCAGTCATTCAAATGACAGGGGGAAGCGCCCATTACATAATCACGTAGGACTCAAAACCACCTGCCCAATGTGACTCAAATGGCATAAAAGCCACTTAAACAACTATAAACTGCATAGAAAAAATTGACTGAAAAGCTATACACCTGTACGCCCAATTATTATCTGTGACTATAAGTGGGTCTGGAGACTTATTTTCTAAGAACTCTTCATAATTAATTTCTCTTTTTCTTTCTTTCTTTCTTTTTTTTGTTTTTGAGACACGGTCTTACTCTGTCACCTAGGCTGGAATGCAGTGCCGCAATCTCAGCTCACTGCCACCTCTGTCTCCGCCTCAGCCTCCTGAGTATCAGGGTCTACAGGCGCTCACCATCAGGCCCGGCTAATTTTTCCTTTTTTTTTTTTTTTTTTTGAGGCGGAGTCTTCACTCTGTTGCCCAGGCTGGAGTGCAGTGGCACCATCTCGGCTCACTGCAAGCTCCGCCTCCCGGGTTCGCGCCATTCTCCTGCCTTAGCCTCCCGAGTAGCTGGGACTACAGGCGCCCGCCACCGCGCCCGGCTAATTTTTTGTATTTTAGTAGAGACGGGGTTTCACCGTGTTAGCCAGGATGGTCTCGATCTCCTGACCTCGTGATCCGCCCGCCTCGGCCTCCCAAAGTGCAGGGATTACAGGCGTGAGCCACCGCGCCCGGCCTAATTTTTCTTATATTTAGTAGAGAGAGGGTCTCGCCATGTTGGCCATGCTGGTCTCGAACTCCTGGCCTCAAGCGATGTGTCATCCTCAACCTCCCAAAGTAATGGGATTACAGACATGAGCCACCACGCCCGGCCTCTTTCAAATCCTTCTTTTTTTAATTTTTTTTTGAGACCAAGTCATGCTGTTTCCCAGACTGGAGTGCAGTGGCGCAATCTCCGCTGACTACAAGCTCCACCTCTCAGGTTCACGCCATTCTCCTGCCTCAGCCTCCCGAGTAGCTGGTACTACTGGCTCCCGCCACCACACCTTGCTAATTTTTTGTATCTTTAGTAGAGATGGGTTTTCACCGTGTTAGCCAGGATGGTCTCGATCTCCTGACCTTGTGATCCCCCCGCCTTGGCCTCCCAAAGTGCTGGGATCACAGGCGTGAGCCACCGCGCTGAGCCTCAACTCTTTATAATAAACGTTCCTAACAATGTTTAATATCACATGATTAAAAAATTCAAAAGCAGAAAAAGAGATGCAGAAATGCCTTCCTCATAATCCTATTCCCTCACCCGATAGACAACTACCATCATCCGTGCAGTGTCTATCCCTCCAGAGAACCTGAACGCGCAAATGAGAAAACGTGAATACACATTCCTCCTTTTTCCCACAGGGCAGGATCCCATGTGTATATTTGTAGAGCTTGGAGATCTTTCTGGACCAACGCTAAAGTGGCCTTCCACCCTGAAGGTAAAATCTACAAACAAGGAAATGCTAGCTCTTAGGTGGTGACCACACGCACTTTGAAAGCCGGGTACGTCGCGCCCCCACCTGTGGGAGGGACTGCATCGCAGGATGCTGAGCAGCTCATCCTCCCCTCCCCCGCTGGGTGCCAGCCCTACCCCTGCCCCAGCTGTGACAACTAAAACTGTCCAGACAGGGCCAAGTGTTCCCAGGGGAGCAGAATCAGTCCAGTTGGGAAGCTCTGACCTAAAGCACTCTCTGGCCATGCTAAGAACTCAGTATCCGGCCGGCCGCCATGTCTCACGCCTGTAATCCCAGCACTTTGGGAAGCCGAGATGGGAGGATCACCTGAGCCCAGGAGTTCAAGACGAGACTGGGCAACACAGCAAGAACCCATCTCTATTTTAAAGAATAACTGAATAATAATAAAAAGAGAACTCAGTATCTGCTGGTTGAAAAAGTTAAAAGAACAAAACCGAAAAAGCCTGGAGGTGGCCAGGATGCTGAGTGAGTATTCAGAACCCTTCCACCCACCCACCACGTTTGTGCCATGGCCCCACCTCCCACAGTTTTTCCTGAAGCTGTCAAGCTCAGACATCCAGAACTGCCGTAACCAGAATCATTCATTCTCTCAGAGTGGCTCACTTCACTCCAGGAAGGTGGCCCCTTGTAACCTGGCGGAGCAGGAGAGCGGCAGCGTGGGACTCCTGTGGTCCTGTCAACTCACGAGGGCACCAGCAGCCGAAGCTGACTCCAGCCCTCAGCAGCACTTGACTGGCCCGAGGCAGGAGGAACCCCAGCCCCACCCTGATTCCACACAACTGCTCCCTAGACTTCAAACTCCAGACTCTGATGCTGCCTCTCAGCCTGCCATCTACCTCCCAGCCACCCTAGACAGCACCTCAGATTTCTCACCAACCCTTGTGTCAGCTCCCTGGACATCCTCCCCCCACACTGCCAGTGGCTCCCTGGCTGGCGCTTCTCCACTCTCCCCTCCCGTGACCCGCACCGGCCCTGCAGTCTCTCTCAAAGACCCTCATGCCTGCTGGACGCCGCCACCCTCCCACACCGGCACCCTCCAGGGCCTCCCTGCGCTCTGCGGGACCCTGTCCCACTGCAGCTGGTGTGTGGCCGAGCAACCCTAAGGCCAGGGTCCCTGCCCTCCACCCCGACAGGGGGTAGCACCAAGGAAGCCTGGGCTCCGTGCACATGAGAGCCACGCTTTCCTCACTGAATAGTTTTTCCTAAAGAAAGAATTAGGCTGGGCATGGTGGCTCACGCCTGTAATTCCAGTACTTTGGAAGGCCGAGGCGGGCAGATCATAAGGTCAAGAGACTGAGACCATCCTGGCCCACATGGTGAAACCCCATCTCTACCAAAACTACAAAAATTAGCTGGAGGTGATGGCGGGCGCCTGTAGCTACTTGGGAGGCCGAGGCAGGAGAATCGCTTGAACCCGGGAGGCGGAGGTTGCAGCGAGCCGAGATGATGCCACTGCACTCCAGCCTGGAGACAGAGCGAGACTCCGTCTCAAAAAACAAAAAACAAAAACAAACAAACACAAAAACGATTATATCTGCAACCAGAAAGCATCAGCAAACCCAGGAAGCTTAGAATACAACATTAACGTATCACGTGTGTGTACGCCACGAAAAATACGCTTTGAAATGCGAAATGCTGATTTCTTTCAAAGTATGCTTAGCTACTTAAAGGCCACCAAATTCACCCTCTCGAATATTAATTTCTATGTTAAAGAAAAGGGAAGTACGGCTTAGATGAAAGTGGTTTTTACCTCTTACAGGCGGACTTCTCCGTGAGCAGCTCTGGAGAAACGTACTGCGCTGTTCCCACGAATGAGTTGGCCCTGGCTGCAGAGGAGAGAGAAGGTCACGCTCAGACTCACGATCTGTGACAATCCAGGGCTGCGAGGTGGGTGTCGCACATGGCGGACCATGCACCCCCAGGAGCCAGACTTGTCCAGGCCACACCGGGGCTGGCTCACGGCTCACCTGCTCAAAGACGCCTGCCTGACATCTGGACACTGGCACCCTCCACCCTGGCGCTCCCACCCGACACGCGCCTGGAGAGCGAGCTGCACACAAACGTCCAGTGCATTCTGCCGGTGGCACCCGCTCAACGGAGGGCATGAGGACACGGTCCTGGCTGGCTCACTGCAGGACCTGGGGTATCCAAACGTGCCCAGGTACACAAACAGTTGCAGGCCAGAAACAACCTCCTTTCCATCACAAACAGCTTGGGAGCTGAGGCGCTACAAAGGGAACAAGACTCAGGCCTCCAGCCCAAGGGCCTTCCTCTACAGAGGGGCTGTGACAGAGCAGAGCCACAGCACGAGCTGGCCCGGGGCCACCACGCAGCTGCTGTCCACACCGGCCCTGCCTGGGCCGGTTCTGAGTTGTCCCTTCCACCTGCCCTCCTCCGGCCAGGCTGAGAGAACCTCACAGCCTCTGCTGCGGGGACCCGTTCCCTTCAGTGAATGACTTTTTTGCGGACTTCATGACTGCCCAGGTGCGGGGGCTCACGCCTGCAGTCCCACTGCTTTGGGAGGCCAAGGCAGGAGGACTGCTCTAGGCCAGGAGCTTGAGACCAGCCTGAACAACATAGTGAGACTCCGTGTCTAGAAAGAATTTCAGGAATTAGCCAGGCATGGTGGTGCACCTCTAGTCTCAGCTACTTGGGAGGCTGAGAAAGGAGGATCGCTTGAGCCCAGAAGTTGAGGGTGCGGTTAGCCACAATTGCGCCACTGTACTCTAGCCTAGGCAATAGAGCCAGACCCTGTCTCAAAAAATAAACAAAAAACAAAGACTTCATGGCTGCATGTGCATCCTGCCAGGACCCTCAGTGATCCTGCCAAGAACACCAAGGACATCCGCAAACACGCACTCGCCCCCGCTGGCCTAGAGGAAAGCAAACCAAACCAAGAGCCAAAAACAAACGAAGCCATTCAGCCCTGCAATGAATCAAAGAAATGCAAATTAGAACACCACAGCCTATCACATTGGCAAAGGGGAAAAAGAATAAAAATACATAGCGCTGGCAGGGATCTGAGGGGACAGACGCCGCGCTACGGGTGGGGCTGTAAAATGGCATCGCTTCTGGGGGCAATTTTCCAATGAGCGTCAGAAGTCACAAAGATGTTTGCCTCCCTGACCCTGCAGTTCCCTCTCCATGCCGGATCTGTCCTTCAGGGTCCGGTGTGGCACGGTGACGAGGGCTGCGTCTGCCGGCAGGACGGGATGCCACTCGCTCCATCTACCTATTCAGTGTTTCTGTTCTTTACTATCATCGAGCGTTGCTTTTGTGACTTGTATTTTTTTAAATGCCATCATTAAAAAGTCTAAAAATGTGTCTTTCTCCTATGGAGAGATGTATATAATGCATAATTAAATGATTGAGGTTGTCGTGCAGCACACAGAGCCATATGTGTTTTTAAACAGCAAGGCTGTGCACAGAGCAAGTCTGTGCACCAACACCCGCCCCATCTCTCAGACGAGTGCTACATAGCGAGCTCCACGCTGGTAGGGCCCTCGATGCTGCTACCGCTGCTGCTGTTCTCACCTTCCCGCAGCCGGACTCTGGGCTCGGATCTCCCGGAATCCTCCCTGCCCTCTCCACCCTCAGGAGCTCCACCCTCAGCTCCTCCTCGCTCCCCAAGGGTCTTCCCACCCTCTCTTCTTTCCTTAGGGCTTGCCCACCCTCACCCTGCCACACCTTCCTAAAGGTGGGACTCCGAGCCTCTGGGCATACGCAAAGTCACCGCCTTGGGAAAGGACATCTGTTCTTAGTTAATCTAGAGACAAACAGCGCCGCTAGAGTGTGGAGAAGATGGCTACCCTTGGAATAATGTTCCAAATCCATAAAATACACAGGACTATAGGAGAAAGCAATTATAATTCAATACACATATCAAATTATTGCAGTGATGGATCTGTGATGTAGTAATATGTGACCGGCATGACACAGCAGACGGTCACGCCACAGTAACCCGGCAGCGGTGCTCGGCACAAGTGGCATGGCGTCACTACCGTGATGTGACCCCTGCAGCATGACATGAGAATACCTGTGACTTCTGATGACAGACATTTGTTGCTGATGTTCATAATGGAAGGAAATGGTACGCTTTGCTGAAAGGTTCGTGAAAATTAGGAATTTCCTCCTATCCAGCCTCACGGATCCCCTGACTTCTATCTGTGACATCCGAGCTGAGAGCCCCAGATAGAGCGTAAGGAAACCTCAGAGACCACCTAGTTACTTCTCCCGGGAGGCTCAGAGACTGGCCAAAGCTCACGCCTCTCCAGCTGCTGGAAACTCAGGCCCAGAGACCTGCACTGGCCGCTGCTGCCCCCGCATGCCACGGGACTACCGACAGTGAGGTCTCGGCTGGGTTGTTGTCTCCACCCTCATCAAAGAAACTCCATGGACCACCCATAGTCCCCCAGATCTGCCAGTCGTACTTGGAGGGGGCGCTGGGGAGGGAAGACCTGAAGAAGGGATCCTGAGCTCACGAGACACCCACACTCTCTTCAAAGCCAAGGGTGCCGGCTACCATCTTGTCCACAAACCCACAAAGAAGCACAGAAGAACGCTCCACAAAATGGGACTACCCTTTGGACGAAACACCAGCAAACCAAATGCGGCAACATCTGAAAAGGACTAGGCACCATGACCAAGAGGATGTATGACACAGTGCAAGACTGGTTCAAAATACAAAAAGCAATGCGTTGCATCTCATTAGAATCAAGCACTAAGGAAAACACAGGACCACCTCGATAGATACAGAAAATGCAGTTAACAAAAATTCCCCACCTCTATAGGACAAAAATACGGAATAGCCGAGGCACAGAAGGGAGGGCCCAGAGTCTGACAGAGGGCACGCACGGCCTAAGGCCAACATCGTGCTCGACGGTCAAACACTCCACGCTCTCCCTACGACCAGGGCGCTCTGTTCACCACGTCCAGTCAACACCGTACTAGAGGTCTCAGCCAGGGCAGTTAGGGAAGAAGATAAAAGGCAGCCAGGTTGAAAGGGAAGAAGTAAAACTAGCTCGAACCACAGATGACAGGATCCTGTGTGCACAAAGTCCTGGGGACTCCACTGAGAAGCTATGACAACTAAGGAGAGCTCAGCAGGGTGCAGGGCAGGAAAAAGCAACTGCATTTCCACACAATTTCCAGGAGCAATCCAAAAATAAAATTCACAATCCCAGCACTCTGGGAGGCCGAGGCAGGCGGATCACCTGCAGTCAGGAGTTCAAGACCATCTTATCCATAAGCGTGGTGAAACCCCGTTTCTACTAAAAATACAAAAACGTAGCTGGTCATGGTGGTGTGCGCCTGTAATCCCAGCTATTCAGGAGGCTGAGGCAGGAGAATCACTTGAATCCGGGAGGCAGACGTTGTGGTGAGCTGAGATCGTGCCACTGCACTCCAGCCTGGGCGACAAGAGCGAAACTCTGTCTCAAAAAAAGAAAGAAAAGAAAAGAAAAAAAGAAGGCCAGGCGCGGTGGCTCACGCCTGTAATCCCAGCACTTTGGGAGGCCGAGGAGGGCGGATCACAAGGTCAGGAGATTGAGATCATCCTGGCTAAAGTGGTGAAACCCCATCTCTACTAAAAATACAAAAAAATTAGCCGGGTGTCGTAGCGGGCACCTGTAGTCCCAGCTACTCAGGAGGCTGAGGCAGGAGAATGGCATGAACCTGGGAGGCGGAGCTCGCAGTGAGGCGAGATTGCATCACTGCATTCCAGCCTGGGCGAGAGAGCGAGACTCCATCTCAAAAAAAAAAAAAAAGGAAAAAAAGGAAAGAAAATTCACAACTCTATTTTTTTTTTTTTCCTGAGACAAAATCTCACTCTGTTGCCCAGGCTGGAGTGCAGTGGTGTGATGTCAGCTTACTGCAATCTCCGCATCCCAGGTTCAAGTGATCCTCCAGCCTCAACTGGTCTCCAACTCCTGACCTCAGGTGATCCACCCACCCGGGCCTCCCAAAGTGCTGGGATTACAGGTGTGAGCCACCATGCCCAGCCAATAACTCTGTTTAGAGTAACATTAAAAATAAATAAGAATAAATGTAACAAAAGAAGCATAAAGCTTATACTCTGAAAACTACAAAGTGTTTTTGAAAGAAAGATCTAAATAAACAGAAAGACATCCCACGTTGATGGCTCAGAAGACTTAACATGGGTTAACAATGGTAACGCCTTGTAAGCTCATCTCCAGACTCAATCCCTTCTCAGATCCCAGCAGGCTTTCACCTCAGGCAGTGTTTTCAACGCCCATTTGCATGGCAGCATGTATAAGTACCTCATCCCTCCTTAGGGCTGGAGAAGATTCCCTCGTTGTGTGGAGACGCCACTCACTCATCCACTCATTTGATGACGTGCATCGTTTCCACCTTCTGGCTACTGTAAATAATGCTATGGGCATTCTAGCACCTGTTTTTGTCTGAATGTGTGTTTTCATTTCTTTTGGGTTCACACCTAGGAGTGGAATTGCAGGGTCATATGGTAATTCTGTTTCCTTTTGAGGAGCTGCCACCCTGTTTTCCAAAGTAGCTGTACTATCTGACATTCCCACCCATGGCATATGTGGGTTCCAATCCCCCCAATCCTTGATAACATTTGTTATATCTGTCTTCTGATCACAGCCATCCTAGTGGGTGTGAAGTAGTATCACCCTGTGGTTTTGATTTACATTTTCCTAATTGACTAATGATATTGAGTAACTTTGCATGTGCTTATGGGCCATTCGTATATCTCTTCTTTGGAAAAATGTCTAGTCATACCCTTTGTTCCGTGCTTTATTTTTTTTTCCTCCCTCTGAGTTCTTTACATTCTGGATACAAGTCCCTT